TCCATCCATCAATCCATCCATCATCCATCCATCCATCCATCCACCCATCCATCATCCATCCATCTATCATCCACCCATCCATCCATCCATCATCCATCCAGCAATCCATCCATCATCCATCCATCCATCCATCATCCATCCAGCGATCCATCCATCATCCATCCATCCATCATCCATCCAGCGATCCATCCATCCATCCACCCATCCATCCATCCATCCATCCATCCATCCATCCATCCATCCATCCATCCATTATCTATACCCGTTTATTCCTTTTCAGGGTCACTGGTGCCCACATCCAGCAGTCAGAGTGGGAGGGGCGGGGTACACCCTGGACAGGTCTCAGTCCATCACAGTTTTATTTTGTGGCACTTTTTATTTTGTAAAGATACTTTATATATTTCAGGGACTTTTATTTTGAACTCCCTTTTTTTTCATTCCGTTTTACTATTTCATGTCGTTTTATTTCATGGTCCAATATGCAAATGAGGGGGCGGAGTTCTCTCTGTGGTTTTGGGATTCAGAAAATGATCTGTTTCACCACCAGAGGGGGTTAATCCCCTGCCTGGTCTTTCTTCATAACTAAACGTTCATTTTTATAAATGAAACACAGAAATATGTCCATAAATGAGTTGAATGAATGTCACTCTGTTATTATAAAGGCTTTGCAGAGATACATGTGGTGGCTTTTGGCCAAATAGCCCTGATTTTATCACAGATTAAAAACACTGATTTTTTTACGGAAAGGTCAGAGCTTTGTTGGCCAAGCCGAATTATTAAACATCTTTCCAAATGTAAGGCTTTCAAGTTTCGTACTGTCAGGACCTTTCTGTCTTGAGTTATGGCTAAAATAGTCTGTTTTCAAGTAGAGTTCTCTGCAGTCACTGAATGTCTATGTGCACTCTGCTGTAGTACCGCTTTGATCCACCAGGGGCAGCAGCTCCCTGGGTGACATTAGCTGTAGTTCCCCTCCGGTCCTCCGGGGGCAGTACAGGCCCAGAAGCGAGCTGTCTGTGGGGGTTGTGGCGGAGAACTCGTCTCGGTTCTGCTCATCGTGGAGCTGGTGGACTCTGTTGTGTGAAGTGAAACTAAAGTTTTGTCCGGAGGAGAAGTGTGTAACACCGTTACGGGACAACAAGGAGCTGCTGCGAACCGGAACCATGTCGGCCTCATCGGCAAAAGTCAACAAGAAGGAGAATTCAAATCACGACGCAGGAGATGAGACCTCCGGTAACGGCTTTCCTCCTTCATGAACGCCATTTTTAGTCTTTATCGTCATGTTGTTGTGTTGGCTGCCTCGTGTTGTGTTGTTTCACGGTTAAATGTGACAAGATAACAAACAAACCGCCCGCTTTACCGCAGTGAACTCACAGCTGGAGAAATGAGACGGTTTCAGTCCGCTAGCATCAGCTAGCTAGCTGTTAGCCTGTTAGCTTGAGTTGATAATGAAGCAGGCCGGTGTGATACACACTGAGTACACTGTAGATACACACTGAGTACACTGTAGATACACACTGAGTACACTGTAGATACACACTGAGTACACTGTAGATACAC